ATTTCATTTGCAAACTAAAGAAAATGATAAAATTATGCCATTGGTGCTTAAACTTCTTAAACTTTATAGTTTAAAATGCAACGTTTATCATATGTTCTATTTAATCCTTATCTTCACTAATATTTAAAATGTAAAAAAATAAAAGGAAAAAAAAGAATCAGATAAACGAGTTTGTTCATGAACATAAATGAACGAGTTGATAAATGAGCTCATAAACGAACTTGTTCGTGAATATAAACAAACCAAACACACATATATTCGTGTTCGTTCGTTTATTAAATCTTCGCATTCAATTTCTTGTCCATTTGGCCTAGGTCACTCAACCCTTGAATTCATTCACCAATGGTGTTGGGCAAATTCTAGGTTTGGTTGGATTCTTTATTCTTCCAAACTCCACTTGAATCGCATGGGCAGAAAGCGATTTGAGGGCAGTTTACTTTCTCCAAATATTCCAGCTTTGGGAATTGTATTTGAAGCTCTTTCCGGTTGATCTTTATACCAATCAAGTACTTCAAACGCAAAATCTTCGCTTGTATCTGATTATTCGAGTAATATATTTGTGGGCCTATGACCCGTTTAATATATTTCTTTATATTTTTTTAATTTAAATTCTTTTAAAAATCATATAAAAATAAAAAAAATTATAAATTCATAATATATAATTCACACACAAAAATTAGTAATTTGAAGTTAGTTTTTGGATAAATAATATTTGTGTGTGTGTGTGTATGTATATATATATATATATTAAATTTTATTTCCAAAAGTACATTAAAAATAACAATATCGATCGTTATTTTTTTTCGAATCTCACATCAAAAAATTAATAAAAAACTTCTTTGAAAATTTTTAAAAATTAAAAGTACATAATACAAATCTAAGAAAAAAATTAAGGATATAAATTTAATTTTAAGTAAAAATATTAAGAACCTAAAATAGAAAAAATAATTTAAACTAATATATATATATTAAAACTACGGGTCAAGTATTCTGTAATACCCCAAAAATTTAGATAATGACCAAAATGAAAATTTTGAAAGTTTGAAGGTGAAAGTAGAAAATTGGGAAAAGTTTAAGGAATTAAGTGGTAATTTTCCCCAAAAGAATTTTATTCCATAAATAGATTTATTTAACGATCAAATTATAAATTTGGTAAAGTTTGGTGACCAAAGTATAAATTTTAAAAAGTTTAGGGATCAAAGTGTAATTTTAAAAAATTACAAATGGTCACGAAAATAAGAAAATAAAAATATTATTTTCACATTTTTAAAATGTTGAAAAATAATATTTAATGGTTTAATTCCATGTTTAATCTGAATCGTTTGATTAAAGTGACTGAATTATAATTTTTAGAAAATTGTAAGGGCAAATCGGTAAACTAAGATATTATTTGTTCATATTTAACTTATGGATGAAGATAAGGTTAAGGTGATATGATTTGGAAGATGATAAGGATAAGAATATTGGTTTTATGGTAATTATGAAGTTTCATTAAGGGTATATTGATATTTTCTCAATTTAATAAATTTAATATTCATTAAATGATAAATTAAATATAGATAAGCATGAAAAATATCTGAAATTTAATGTCAGAGTGTTCATCTCTTCTCCATTGACGTGAGCTATATCAAGGTAAGGGGAAAATATTTGTTTTCCATTTTTGAGTCGATTCCTTTGAAATTTGGGTTATGCCGTGAAATAGGAAAGTGATCTACGCGAAAAACGCTATCATTTGATACCAATATTTCTTTCTAATATTGCTGGATTTCTAAGATCCCAAATCCAAGGGTTTATGTTCACGATGAGATTCATGAAATTGATGATAAATCTTGATGATTTAGAGGTTGTAGATTCATTTTCAAGCTTGATTTATGGTTAAAACATGTTCAATCTTTCTAGAGATTATTATGTAAAATTCGGCCAAATTATAAGTTGGAGAACTTTGTGTTCTGATGAGAGTTGATTAGGGATTTGATTATAGAGATGTTAAAAGGTTGATTGAAAGTTGATTTCATGCTTGAATCGAATCAAAATCGAGCAAAATCATGAAAACGTAGTTTTAAAGGATAAAGTATTTGATCATGATGTATCTAAGTGATAAAATGGTGAAGAACCATTTTATGTAATTGGAAAAGTTGGTGCCAATGTTAAAAGGAATTATTAAGTGTTAAATATTTGGTAGAAAATGAGTTCCAAGTATATTATGGAGTTGTTATGGGATGTGTTTATGTTAGTACAATACTAACATATGTATCGTTATGAATTTGTGATTTATACAGATTGTGATTGATTTGTTATCGAATTGTTATCGAAACAAGTCAAATAGAAAAGGGTTTATTGTGGACAATTAGTGAGGCACATATTATGGATTATATAAAATGTTAAGGTGAGTGCAATACATGCATGACATTGTACATAAATGTTTTATACATCATGTACATAGATGTTTTATACATCATCGGAAAGACTTGTGATAAGTTTACCTTGTTTTATCAACATGAAATTTTGACATGAATGTTATTTTGGGTATGAACTGCCCTAATGTTTGTTTCATGGTTATATGTTGCCATGGATGATTTAATTAATAACTAGATGCCCAAGTATGATATTGAGGTTCAGTGGTATTAATGGCATGTCATCGAGTCTAGCAGCTACATATTAGATAGCACTAGAGTGTCTAGAGAAGAACATAGTGCATGCCTCAAAGTGTCTAGCGAAGACACAGTACAAAACACTACAGTGTACAAGGTGGGTAAAACCCGACCTCAACATTACGGTGCATTATTAGGTGAGCAATGCTCGACCTAAGCATTTTTGTGTAATATTTGACTCCTATACCGGGTTCCTCATAGATTGAGAATTGTGGGCAATAGTTTTGGATAAAAATGATTTTATTAATATAAATAATATAAAATATTATATATATATATATAATCGGGGCATGGCGGGGATACCTTGCCCCATCCTCGAACCCGACCCGAAAAAATCCCCCAAAAAAATTTCCGACACCCGACCCGACCCGATATCATTCAAACCCGATCAACTCGAACTTGACCGGGTTTCGGGTTTTCCGTCGGGGGTCATTCTGCCATCCCTATGTTTTTATCAAACTTCAAATGAATTTTTTTAGAGTTAAATCGTGAATAAAAAATAATTATAATTATGTTTTTAAAATAATAAGTGTTAAATATATAAAATATTGGTTTTTCTCTTTTAACTAATATAGATTAAATTAATTTATTTAGTAGTAAAAACTAATTTAAACCAATTGATATAAGAAATAACTAGATTGATTTATTTAGGGTAAACTATCCATTTGGTCACCCATTTATTCTTATAAATCTGTTTTGATTATTTAATTATTTTTTGAAAAAAACATACTAGTATATAATATTACATATTGTTTGCGTTTGGTCACCAATCGTTAGATTTAATTGATGACGTAACAGAAGTGGTGACGTGGTGTGTACGAATCAAGCGATTTCATTAGTTAAAAGGATAATTGTTATCCTTAAAGGTTCAGATTCGAGCACTAATATTCACTGTCAAACAATTGAAAGTATTTAAAATATATTTTATCATTTATAAGTACTTTATATTAATAAAAAAAGAATTTGATTGCCAGTTCAATGATGCGTGTTTAATTTAAATCTAATTAAGTTAGGTTTTTAACGGTGAATTTATAATTATTTTAATTTCATAATTAAACAAAAAACTAATATTTTCAACTCATTGCCGATTTCGATTAACTTTTTACAATATAGTCCCTATAAGTAATAATTTTTTTTTAGATTCAAGAAGCATTTTAAACTCGATTCAACTACGAATATGCATAGAGCTTGTATGAACGTTGTATTGAATCATAGTAAATTTATTTTCTTGTATGGGCTAGAAAATTAATAAATGCATATTAGTATAGAAATTATTTAAAAATTTACATCTTAGTCCTTAATATGCCATGTTTATGCAATTGAAGTAGAAATTGAAATCCGATTGAGCTGAATTTTTGCATGACACTCAAATGCATAATCCTAAGTTGGTAAATATCAATGATATCATATCTTGAGCATGAGAATGACTTAAATTCATGAATTCATCCCTATATCAAAATGTTACTTACTTGGCTTAGTTTCAAGCATGGATTAGGATGAGTGATCACTACATTGTATGTTTTATTTATGTAAATACTGTCACTAATGTATGGATATCAATTAAAGAAAGCAAAAATAGAGTTGCTTGATTTTAGGATCGTTCGAATTCAAATCACTTCAATGATCAATATGACATATGATATCTAGGGATAGGTACGGGTCGGGTTTCAATCAACCCAACCTGATCCGAAAATTATACATCTTCCACCTGAACCCGACCTGAAAAATACCCTCCATTCAATCCGACCCCGAACCATCTTATTAAAATAAAATTCAAACCCGACCCAACCTAAAATAATATATTTATTAAAAAATATTATTTTTATTCAATAAAAATAGGTATTTAATTAAAAAAAATAATATATAGAGGAATATTATTGTAATTATCCTTAATATATAAGGTGACAATATTTTTTCGAGTCCGGTATGATATTTTTTCCCCTAAATGCAAACTCCACCCGACCTGAACATAACCGCCAAAAAAACCCAACCTAACCCATATTTTTTTTTGAAAATCTGACCAGGTCGAGTCGGGTCAGAAACCATCGGGTTCAAGTCTCGTGCCCATCCCTATTGATATCCGACTTCAAACTGTCCTGACTGGGTATTGAATGTTACGATGATCTTTGAAGTTCAAAGCACAATATTGTAATACCCTTTTTTGTCCAATTTATTTTTCTTCAGCCCACTTTTAACCCACATCCTATTTGTTTTATGTTTTCATCATATTATATCCTTATATATGTGTGTATGTATATACATACATATGTTCGCATATGCATATCGATATGGCACCACATAACATTATATCTGTGCATGTGAAGATGAGAGAAGAAAAGAAAGCCATTTGACAAACACGCGAATTAAATTTTAGACCACACACAAAAAGTAATTCCAGGACTTATAACAGCACTGAAGATCTGGTTTTTGTTTATATATATATGGTGGTGGCTTGAACATACTTGCAGAAGCTCGTTTACATGCCGGACTTCATCAAGATTCCACCAGTGTTGCTTGCAGGCAGAAATGCCTTTTTTTTCCAAAATGAAGGAGGACACATCGTGATAGAAGCCGAGAACGGCTACGGTTTACAACACGCAGCAGAGACTCTTTTTCTGAAAGGAAAAAGAGGGGCGCACGTCGTGATAGAAATCTAGAACACCTATGGTTTATAACAATCATACGGAGACCGCGACGACAGTGCAACAATCAAGCAAATGAGCATTTATCATCAAGCAAATGAAGTCACATTAGGGATTACTTACTTGCTGTGGTTTTCCTGGATCTGCCCCTGGCTTACTATTAGCATCAGCGTTTGCTGCTGGCTCGGTTTTGCCACCAGTTTTCTTCTCGTCTCTTGCCTTGTTAAAGATCACAGTAAACCCCTCGGCTGATGCTGGATCGTTGACATCCCATTCACCGAATTTCGGCAATGGCCGACCCTTGTTTTCGTCCTAGGCAGAAAGAGAAGTAAAATGCTCTCTCATTAACATCCTCATAACAAAACAAAAAATTAGAATGTGTCTAAGGTTCCCCAAGCAGCCAATAGCTACAATATACTCAATCATACATCATACCAAGTTGGTCAATAGTTGCTAGTCCTACAAGTTCTCCAAATAAGCATACAGATCGATTCCTGGCTCGGACCAAAACAATTTTTCCACATTCAACAAAGAAGAAATCCTACACCAAAAAAGGTTCTTAAACTCGAAAAGCTGGTAGAAGGAATTAGATTATACTATAGACCACTCTTCAATGTTTACCACTAGGATATGAACCTTATCTGAACCCCTAAGTGCCATTATAAAGGCATTTGCATAACTTCAGCTTCAGCTTGAAACAAATTTCCTTCCATTTTAACAACTGAAAAATTAATCAACATGCTTTACAACATTGACAACAAAACAAAGTGAATTCAGCTGAGCTGGTTAAATCAGTGGGCCTAAATAGACAATGCAGTTTAAATCTATGTTAGTCGGATCTCAGACACAAGTCAAACACAGAAACTCGAGAAAAGATAAAGTTCTAAAAGCTTGTTATTGGTCACTTACAAAAAGCATACCAAAAGGAAACTGGTCACAATTTACACTAAAACTCTAACAAAAGCTAATTTCAAGCTTTCGTTTAAGAACCTCAATCCCATATTAATAGGTAAGTACAATGCAAAATCCATTCAAAGATAACTCTCAACCATTTGACATTAAACGCTCGCACACCTATCATTCATGATGCTCGACCCTGAAACATCAAAGAATAACAATAATTCATTTACCACTGAGATCACTCGGTTCGTGCAAGGGATTTGTTAGATGCATGTTTAGTAGTGAAATTGGAATTTCTAATATAATTTCAGTCTTGATAAATTCATGTACAAGTACTTTTATAAGTATATATTGAATCATAACTATTCATCAACAATGTATACATACCACATATCAAACGAAATACAAATCTAAATTTCCAGATCAGCGACCTGACTCTAAATGTGTTATCAAGAACCCTATCATGATCCCCAAAACAGGCCAAAACAAATCACCCATTAGCTTAATGCATTCCATTTTAATTCGATATAAATCTATTTTCTCCCCCTTTTCAAAGTAGCAATCGGGTATAATTACCTCAAATTATATACAATCTACAAGTTAAACAACAACAACAACAAAAGTTCAAAAGGAATCCCCAGAGAAACAAAACTAGATCGAAGAATGATTCTTTTTTTAAGGGAAAATACAAACAAACAAAAAAATCACGAATCAAGAACCCAACAGAGATATGAATCAAAACAAACCAAAGATTAATCCATCTAAAATGAAAGAAATCAAATCAAATCAACATACCGACATGAATGCTGAAGAGAGAGAGAGAGAGAGAGAGTTAAAGAATTTTTGGGAGGAAATAGGAGAGCTTTAGAGCTTTAGTTTTGGCAGTTAATGGGAAGGGATTGGTGGAAGAAGCTATGACAAAGCTATGCATTCCCTGGAAAAAAGGTTGAACTATTCATTTCATTTTATCGGATCTAATTTATTTTTTATTAATTTTTATTTTAATTTATTTATTAAAAACATTAATACAAACATAATTTTAATAATTAAATAAATTAGTGGATCAAGTCTCATCTTAATCGATAATTTTGTTATTATAACGTATAAACATGTAGATTTTAGCACCACCCGAGCTATATCAGCGATAAAATAATTGTTGTTCATTGAGGTATTAAGCTCGAACACCATAGATGTCGGGTGTGAACTTTTAATATCAAAAGGTTGAGAGTTATATTTAAACAGATAATATCTTATATTTATAATAATTACTACCGTCAATAGTTAAAATCTAGAAATTAAAGAATGAAAATACAAAATTTTAATACTTTATTCTAAATATTTGAGAATATAAATTTTCTTATTTTTTCATTCACATCGACTATTAAACTAAATTTAGTTTTTCTTCTACAAAATAACGGATATACAATGGCTCCTCTGGAGATATATGACTACAATACGTCATGAAATACGCTTAAATTATTTGACAACTTTTAAAAGACGTCGAGATTATAAAATATTTTTAAAAAATATATCGTTCAAATTATAATTTTATTATTTTATGAACATACATACAACTTAAAAGAAACTGTTAAATGAGTCATTCGTCTTTTCAAAATTATCGAGTGATTCAAATATTTTCAGTAAAACAATATAGCAATGATTCTATATAAAATCTTTTTCTCAACATTTTATATGTCATAATTTTATTTTCTAAAGTATTATTCGGATAATTTTACAACAAATATTGAGTCAGGTAATTATCCTAAATAAATTTTGGGTAAATCATGATTTTAGTATTTAAACTATTAGTTTTTATCTATTTTAGTACCTAAACTTTTTTTTAAACATACCTAAAGTTTAGTTTTTATTTTATTTTAGTAGATTTGTTCAAAATTTAACGTTAAATTTTGAAAAAAATGAAAGTTTAGGTACTAAAATGGACCAAAAATAATAGTTTAGATACTAAAAGCGTTAAGTTATTAACTGTAGAAACTAAAATGAAACAAAAACTAAATATTAGGAATGATTTTGAAAAACTTGAAACTTTAGGTAAAAAACGGAAGAAACTGATAGTTTAGGTGATAAATACGTAGTTTATCCATAAATTTTAAACAATTAAAAAAACAACTGGTTTTTCCAAAACATCACCGTTGCCTTGTCGAACCACAACGAAGAAATACCAAAAACATGTTTTCTTCATTCCCAAGCTCCCACAAGGGCAGTTATTCTCATACAACAACCTCGTCACTTCCCTGGTAGTTAAGTCTTTAATAATCCATAAACAAAAACCCCAAGAAAAGGGTGAATCTATAGAGCTTTTTTTTCTTCGAAGAAATCAATTTTTTATACAAAAAGTGAGAGAAAAAAGATGCAAGCTTGGTTCTCAGGGGACAGCAGTATGGGTAAGGAACAGGGAAAAGAAGGATCTTCGCTTTTAGCAGATTGGAATTCATATGCAGCTTCGAGAGAATCAGACGAAGGCACTGCGTTTGGGTTCGATCTCGAGTCTGCTATGATGTCTGCCAATGATACCGTCACTGGTACTTTCAATGTGTAAGCCATCGTTCCTCTCTTCTTGATCTGGGTAATTTGAATGAAGCTTCGATTTTTAGCTTGTTTTTACGGTTGAGTATGGGATTTGATTGAACATTTTGTTTGTGGGATTTGCCGGTTGATTCGATTTTGCTGATTGGTGTTGGGTATTTGATTTTATGGGAATTAGGGCTTATTTTCAATGTGCATTGCTATTGTTGAATTTTACTAAAATTGATTGTAGAATTATGGTTTTTTGTTGGTTCACTGTCAATTTTAGGATTTAGAATGTGAATGTCATTCAATATCTGGGTCTGTTAGACTTTTGATTTTGTAATAGTCACCTCTTTGCATGATAGATGTGTGTAAATGAATTTGTATTATATAATACACACACATGTTTCTAAGATGCTCTGCTAAAAAGGTGATTTGATTTAGTATAGAAGGATTGAAGAAGGGTAGAGGAGGGCATAAGATCACATCGGTTAAGAAGAAATAATTTGGTATTTTTTGATCTTGGTTCGAGATTCCAAGCTAGATCGGGGTTTAGTAAAATTGAATCTTCTTGTACTTCTGATTGGCTAGCTATACTTGGTTCTCGTCTTCCCCAATTATACCACTAATACATATTGAAATACCCTATAGTGGTGGAAGAGCAGTTTCTGTGGATCTTTGAACAAAAACTCATGCAAAGTTGTTTTTCTCCCATTAAAAGTTCAACAAAAATGGATAGGTACAAGTCCTAAGATTATGTTTTTATCCTGTTGATTCATATTTGGTTTGGTTCTTGGTGCTCCAGTGTTTCAAAGGGGGTGAGAGATATTCCAGGGAACTTCCAATCTGCCACGAGTAGTGTTCCTTCGGGAAAAGCACTTGTCTATTTTGGTTTATTTCTGGCGAGTGGGATCTTCTTCGTTTTCATCGCTTTTACCATGTTTCTTCCAGTCATGGTGATCATGCCACAGAAATTTGCTATCTGCTTTACTCTTGGATGTGGCTTTATCATCGGATCATTCTTTGCTTTTAGAGGCCCAAAGAATCAGTTAGCCCACATGTCATCAAAAGAGGTATTTATGCTATACTTTGATTCCCCCCCCCCCCTGTTTTCGTTAGCAATCTGATTGCTAGAAAAGTTAATAATCATCTAGTTCGATTTTGTGCATCTAATATGTTCTTCTGTTCTTTTCACACCATTGATGCAGAGGCTTCCTTTTACTCTAGTTTTCATTGGGAGTATGGTGGGTACCATCTATGTTTCCATGGCGCTTCACAGCTACATCCTTTCTGTTCTCTTTTCTGTGTTACAGGTATACTACACATGTCATTTTTGTTCGGTTATTTTATCTTAAACTTGTTAGGTTTATTCAATTATGAGCTGAGATATTTAGTGCCCGCATGATCATCCGGTTTTGATATCAATTTTCTCTTGCTGTTCCCGTGAAACTCGTAGGTCCTTGCACTTGCATACTATGCTATTTCTTACTTCCCTGGTGGATCTGCTGGGTTGAAATTTCTCACATCGACCCTTACCTCAACAGTTACTAGCTGTTTCGGCAGGTGAACTGGTCGCTTTTCACCTTTGTTTTTGCCTTGTATACTTGTCTTATGTCACTAAATGGTGTTAGTCCTTGTTTTATTGCTTCCAAGTTGTCAGCATTTTCTGATGAAGAACTGTAACAAATGTACTTTTACCTGCATCAAAATTTTCGGAACGGCCGAACTTAATCTATTAATAGGATGAATTCTCTATATCGTTTGGACTTGGGTGTGAATGTTGGAAACGGCTGTGGTTAGATTTTTCTTAAGTTTTTTTAAATGTATTTAGCGGATTTTTGAAGGTTATATTTTCAAGAAAAATGAAAGAGTCC